TTCTTAGTTATGTTACTATCAGTTAATTAATTCTTGCACAGTGCATACCTGGCATAGGCATTGCATAGAAAGACAATGAAGACGTGTCTCATGTCAAGGAGGATAGACTGGGATTTTAAAAATAAGGAGATCTAGTGGAGTTCAGGATCAGTTCCCTTTGGCTTTCAACGAGAACTCTATACTTATTCCCTATCCTTCTATGGAAATCCCAGCTGTACAGTGAAGAAACCAAGCCTACAGCACTTTGTGGGATCCTGAGGGCAGCACGGTATCTCCTTGTACTGAAAGACCATGCTGAACATGCTTGGTAGTGATTTTACCAAACTAAACTATAGAAGACTAGCTTACATCACAGATTAGACAAAATTCTTTAAAATGCTGAATGCAGTTATTGGTATGCACCAAATATTTTGGTTTTGTTATATCATTGCTTCAACTAGATCTTTATAAAGTCTTCTCAAGAATTTGTCAATAGTTGCTCAGAACAAGACTTTTATGTGATAGCTATGCCTCTGGTGACTACAGATGCTTTGCCTGAATTCTATGAATACTGCAGTTAAGACTCAGTGGCAACCTTAAATAAGTAGATAACACTTTTTTCAAGGAAGAAGTCTATTATTCCTGAGACAATAGGAACAATGGGCTAGGCTTGCTGAGATGCATCTTGCTAAAGACACATCTCAGGATGAATCTGAAGTACATCAAAAAAGCAGTAGGTCTTAAATAAATGTATTCATTAACTTCTAGCTGACACATTAGAGGCAACCTCATTTTATTTGTTTGAAAGTACCTTCAATTTTAAGCCAGTTCTGTTTCAATGATTTTGAACACAAAGGAATATTCTTATGAGTAGCAAGATATTTTGAATAATGGAATATAATTCCATCAGCACTGTGTTCTCTTGTTATTTATTACTGTACTAAATTATCTGCAACTGAAGACAACCCTTTTATAATGAGATATCTGATGATTTATTTTTTGCAAAAAATATTAGCTTTATTATTTATTAATTCTAGCAGTATTCCTCGGTGTATACTCCATAAATATTAACATATCTGATGTCTTGTAAAGATCCAATGAAAGTAATAGCATTGTGCCAGATGTATAGGGAAGATCTGACATCTCATTTTATGTAGATGATCTGCTAAAGCTTACAGTATCAGAGAGTTCAATTAAGAACTTGTCAAAAAACAGTGCTAATGTAAGGATATTTGGAGCCTTGCATTTGGACTAAAAATACTGTTCAGCCATGAGCATTATTATGGACATATTATGTGGGAAGAATGCATTTTTGTTTGCCTGTAGATGCTAAATAAATTATGAAATTGCCTTTAAATGCTTGTATTACTGAACAAATGCCTGCTAAAAATATTCTGAGAACAGTGTGAGCATGTTGAGATATCCTGTGAAGTCACATAGAAGGTTCTTCTCTTTAAAATGTTTGTGCTGGATATTATTTGTAGTAATATGAAAATAACAGCACTATCTACTTGTACTGTTAAAAAACAGGTCAGATAGCTGTGTGTGAGGCTTTAAGAATACAGCTGTTGTCTGGAACTCAAAAAGATCATCTGGAATTTTAAGTTATCAGAAGATTATTATTCAAGGCTGATTTAACTCAGACTCCCCAAATCCTTTACATTTGTGCTGACAGTCTTTTTGTAGAGTCTGAGTCTGGCGTAGAGTTTTTATATCAGTTCATCTGTGCAAACTGGCAGATTACTACCATGGAACTATGTATGGAGCTGAGTATTTGCTTCAGTGCATTGGAAAAGATGGTGGTAATGTTGGAGTATCATAAAGTTTGTGCCAGGTGGGTCCCACAAGTGCTCACACAAGAAGAGGAAAAACACCTTATGCAAGTTTGTCAGAACCTGTTGAATATGAAACAGAAGGGGACAGTTTCCTGGGTCACATCATTACTGGTCACATGTCACCACTACAGGCTGAAGTCAAAACAGTGGTCGATGGAGTGACCACATCTGAATTCCTTGTTGATAAAAAAGTTCAAGACAGAAGTCTCAGAGGTAAAATAATGTGCACTGTCTTTTGGGATAGGAAAGAGGTGAAAATCCTTCTGGATTTCCTGGAACTCAGACAAACCATCAATTCTGACTGCTACTTCATGATGCTGACTAAGCTGAAGGCTCAAAATTCTAGTCAGACTAGAGGATAAGACAACTTCTCTTTTAATATAATAATACCAGGCCCCATATCAGTTTGAAGATCACAGACCACATTGCCAGTGTTGGCTGGGCTGTCCTACCACACCTGCCGTATGATCTGGGTTTGGTGCCTTCTGTCTTCTTTCTGTTCAGGCCAATGAAAGATGGACTGCATGGGCAACATTTTCCTAGCAATGACACCACTATAGTGGTTGTGAAACAGTGGGCCACCTCTGCTGGTGCAGATTTTTATATGAACAGGACATGCAGGTTCTTGTTCATCACTGGCAAAAAAAAAAACGCATAGCTGATAGTAGTGACTGTGTTGAAAAATAATATTTTGTAGCTGAGAAATTGCGCTATCAAATGGTGTTATAGTGCTCTTTGTGTCTGTTTTATGTTCCATGGAAATAAATAGGAGGCATTATTTTTTGAGCAACCTATGTATAATATAAGTTTATATTTGCTTTATATCTTTGTGTTTGTTGTTTTGGAACTGCTTGAGGTAGGTAAGCCAGCTAAATGGCCATAGTCCATGTGTGGCAAGGAATGAAGACTTCTGTTTATGTCCTAGTTATGCCTGGTTGACTGCAGGTTTCCTGATAGGTAACTTGATAACAGAAGAACAATAGGAAAAAAAGAGAAATCTCAGATCATCCTCAAGGATCTGGCTATAACTAAAGACCTTTTTGGCGTGTACTCTGGAAGGTGTCACATTTCATTTCTTTACAGAGTTTTCCAGGAAACATAAATACTCCAGTCATATTTTGGTAAGGTACGCTCTTATTTTTTTCCTCTTCATTTAGTAATACAGAGTACTTCCAGATGTGTTTGAAGCCAGCATAAAATTGGTGAATCCAAGAAGGCTTACTTGAAGACTTTAAAAGTAAACAGAATGTACAAATATATGGCATTACATTTGTGAAGATTTATGCCTGTATGCTTTGTGTTGATTGTGGCTCCTCTTATCATCTCTTCTGTTTTCATTAGAGAACAGGCTGTGACTTTGGCTCCTAGCCACTATCTTTTGGAAAGGCTTTGTAGAGATAGTATGGCCATCACATATATCTTCATGTGGGCAGCATAGAGAGGGACTCAAATGACGTTTGTATCCTGTATTGAAAAATTATGCTGAATTTGCTTGCTACAGCTGATATTAACTCATCAACAAAGCAGAATTTCAACATAATACAACATCAGGGTCACGCTATTTCTGTACTGTTACCTAAAGAGCGTTACATAAGTTAATTATTACTCATCTTTGACATAATGCAGCAGACACATTTAGCAATTCTTTAAAACTCAATTTCAGATAGTTCAGATCTATTATGTATTTATTAGAACAAAAATGGAAGGAAACAATGTAGCATATACACATACGGTGTACACAGGAATATATTTATATACTGTCCATATAAATATCTAAATTAGACAGCTGCAAACTATTTATATTTTAAAGCATGGAGCTCAAATTGAGACACAGTGGTCATTGAAAGCAGGCAATGCAACCTGGAAATGCGCTGGCTGGAATGGAACAGCTCATTACTAATATGAGACAGAATCTATGCATAAAAATCTAGTAAAGAAACTTCAATGTTTCTTAGGCATTATTGAGATGCCAATCAGTGTTGCATGTGTGTCTGGAATTCTAAATAATTTCCTGTATGTATTTATTCCATATTGTTGATATAAAATATCAGCTGATAAATTCTGTGGCTCTCCAAAAGCATGTGTCTATCTGCTACTGCGCCACTGTCAGTCCTTTGACAAAGGTTTTATGTCAAATAACTGCCAGTTGACTGAGTTCCAGATGGTCACCTGCTTTCTTGGGAGAAAAAACATTCTTGTGGACTTGTTCTGGAGACAGCAGATTATAAAATCTTTTTTCTGCTGAGCGGTGATTTCCTCAAGGCCTGTGCATAGTGTTCAGACTGTTGTGTTAACCCTACTCATGGAGTTTGACTGTTTTTGGTGAAGTGAAATTAAAAATTAAGAACTACTTCTATCAGGATGCTGCTCCCAATTGCCATTTTTATTTGCCTTTATATCTTCACTTCAGAGCAGCCTACTCCAGCCTGGTGCAATGCTGCTTAGTCCTGTAAACTATTTGTCTATATTTTGTAATATTTTTCTGTAAATTGTATGTCCAGTGCACAACATTTACCTCAGGAAAAATAACCCAAGGACAAAAGTGTTTTGTGTATGCTTGACATGAAACATAGTAGGAAATCGGGGCAAAGATGAATTACATTAGAGGGAGTTATATACTTTTCCCCAGATCAAAATGAAGAGGAGATTGGTTTAATCTGTTTTAAAAATAAGAAATCTGTACAATATGAGCAATGTACAATATGAAACCAGAAGTATACTGTATTATGATAGTGTAGAGACTAGAAGAATTCTACTATACCTATCTTTTTTAGTTGCACATATGCATATATATATTTTGTATACCTTATGAAAGATTTTTTTTTTAAATATTGTTTTAGCAAGTCTCTGTATTTTTTACCTTGATTCTTGCATTCCATGCTGTTAGGACAATATCTAATCCGAGCAGTATGGTGATGAACCTGAGAATCGAGATTTTGTACAGGTACTCTTTGCCTGTACTCTGTCCAACCTGAAGGTTAAACTTGATGTGTTGTTTTAAGAGTGTCAAACTGGGGATCTTGTACCAACAATATTAATGTATGAAATGCATGAGTTATTATAGCATGCATTTTAATTGCTCTTCAAATAGGATTACAGCCCTACAATTCATAACAGTATCGGTAAAATTTATTTTATTTTATATTATAAAGCTTTTTTTTGTTTGTTTGTTTGTTTTTTATTTAGGCAAGTGAGAGACCATTATGATTATTTGGACATCAGAGAGGAAATGTAAGTATAATATTAATATCCAGTAGATATTTGTTAACTGATATTGTTGAGCACAAAATAAGCTTGATTAATATGCATCTATTTAGTCTTCCTAAGAATTATGTATCAAAAGATAAAACATCCATATTTGGTACAAAGAATGAGGCTGTAGCTGTATCAGTATCACTTTAATTACATTTTTAATCTTTTCTCTTGAGTATCTCAACTTTCTTTGGTGTCTAGGATTAAACTTTTTAAAAGGAAATAATTAATATCCACATTTGAGTTTGTGAAAACTTCCACCTGAATTTGTGTGCATAATAGAAGAAATAGTCTGAAAAAAGGATGTCAGTTCTTTTCATATTTAGAGTTGAATAGGATGCAAAAAATAGTCATATACTGAGTTTATTTTGTGATCACTTAATACACAAATTAGAGCAGTGTTATTGGGGTCTATTTGGCAGAAATTTGTAACATTACGCAAGGCGGATAAATATGGGTTGAGATAAAGCTAGCCAAAAAAATACCAGTCATGGATGCAGATGTCCCTGCTGAAGTTTTTGCACCTGGGCTATTTGGTATCCAAACTGACCTCATGACTGGCCACAATGGCTGACTTCTCTTCCTGAGCCAAAAGAAGAAGAGGCTTAAGTGGGTCCATATGGCACACAACAATCGACAGCAAAGATGCATTGCCAACTTGGTATTGCAACTACAGTTTGTATTTCAATGTGCTGTGGAATTGGTTCACTATTCACAGAAGAGCAAGTACTGCCAGTAGCTTAATCTATGAATTTATCTAATTATGTCCTAAAAGCACTGGAGAACTGCAGTATGATTTCAGATGATGTGTGATGAAGCCAAAGTCAATTTAACCTGAACTGTGCACATTCCTATTTGTATCTAGAATCAAGAAGTTGAGCTTCTCTTATCTATAGTGACAGAAAATGCTGTATTTTACTGTATTCTAGGAGCAGTTGATTTTTAGGATTTAGAAGATGACAAAGTTTACAAATGTAATATCAAACATGATTATCTGTGACCTTGAAAGGCTTCTTGTTGTTCTTTTCCACTCTGGACTTCATAATAGAATTTATTTCAAAAACAATGATGCACATCTGAAATGAGTAAAAGACCTTTGATATAATTGCTGTGAAGCTAGAAAATCAAATGATATTACTGTAAAATCCTTGCAACAGCCTAGGCAATAACTTGACTATGTTTGAACGCTACAGCTCTGTTTGTTCAGTAGCTGTTCATTATGTAGTTTTATTGGTTATTTTTCCCTTTTATCCCTTGTTGATAGAGGTACTTAACTATTTATGAGTCTCTCCAACGGTGAAGTTTCTATTTCCTGGCTGGAATCCCAAGTGAGAGGAACGTAATGGTACGGGGTAGCGACATCTGCATGTATTTATTCCATTGTGATATCTAGAAAAAGATTTATATATATGAGTCATTCTTTCTACCTGAAAGCAGGGTAAACATAGTTTGGATAAGTACATTGCCTTGTGACTGTGGTGTTCTTGTTGACTAATGGTAGATATGAATCAAACACATATTTGCATTTGATAACCCACACGGACACCTGTCCCTAAGATTATACTTAAACCAGCTGTGCTCAGGGTTAAGGGAATTTCTTTAAATGGTGCCTTTCTGGAGATACTGATTCTGCTTAGATGTGCTGTGATAGTATTTGAAGTACCAGTGGAAAATACAAGGCTGTATCCTATTGCCAAAAATACTCAGCAGATATAGTTTTCCATCAGCTTACTGGAATAAAAATTTTCTAATTACTTTTGATAGCTAAGTAGTATTTATTCTGAAATTTTCTAACATAGAAAAGCATTCCCACCTGCCCTATTTCCAGAAGATATCACTACCGGTTTATTTTTATGAAATTTCACTTTTTTTTACCTGTATGTTACTGGCATAAGCTCACATTTAAAATTTTCAAGTTGTCCTAGAGATATTTTTGCATTAAACCCTTTCATCTTTACATAGAAAAGAATCGCTTCCAAAAATGTACGCTTCTGGTCTGTAAGTGCATAAACCTGCATAAAACACTTTTACTGAGCTGCTGTTAAAAACAGATTTTAAATAATTTCATATACAAATCCTATGCGGTCATGCTGATTACATGTTTATCTGGAATGGAAAATTTGGACTCGCTGTTTTTCTTATAACAAATGTAATTGCCCTCATGCTGCCATCAAATTTTCTCTGAAATTCTTCTGTACCTATAGTTCTCTCTGAAGTACTCTGTGAAGTCTAAAAAATCTCATAGCCTTCAAGTTAAGGTATATAGAAGCAACTGCTGTAAAAAACAGCAGTGAATCCAAACATATGGAAATGTTTGTAATAAAGAACCAAGTCATTAGACATCACTATGTGTGCCTCAGTAGAATCTATACCTATCTTAATATTAATTCAACCAAGCTATTCTCCTTGGAAAATCAAATATAATTTTGAAAGAAACTGTTTTAATCTGGGAAGAATCTTTTCTGATTACATACAACTCACTGTAAAATCCACTTTAGGAATCGACATGGAAAATCATTAAACAATTAAAATTTGTAGGAACAAGACTTGGCCTTGAAAGAAGCTTTCCCATAAGATCGTCATATATGTTTTAATCATGCCCAATCTTGATCAAGTCATAATGAGAAATAAATTCCCTGCAGTGTAAAATTCACCAAATGAATTGTGCTAAAACCAGAGCTAGGGAAAATAACACAGATGGTTGACATGTCTCACAATGACCACAGTAAGTGCACTCTGCCAGCAGGAGAAATCCATGTATACTCCTGGAATATTATGTACTTTTTGTGCTAAATTCCCTGATGATATTTGACTATCACTGCACACCACACACTTGAGATAATTCAGATAATCATTTATAGATAAAAGCAAGGAATATCTACTTTACAGGTAATGTTCCTCACCCACTAGTTCCTCACCTCAGATCTTTAAGTTTTCTAAAGACGATACTAAACTTGGAAGTTCTTAACTTGAGTTGATAACTGCACTCAAATTCTCTTTTAGTAACTAATCTTGTCTTCATTTGCAGACAGCAAGCTTGTCCACAAAGTACTCTTCATTCTCCTTAAAAGTAAATGACTCTTACCCAAATAATGCTTTCTGTGCCGTGAGCATCTTCCACTTTTATTCTCTGTGATTTTAATATCTTAAAAATCACATTTAGCAATTCTATAAAACTAAAGTACTTTGTTTCCTATGGCCTCTAGCACTGTGGAAAGTTTGACTGTCCTCAGTGGCAGCTCTGGAAAGTGTTGATGTTGCTGTACCTTATCCAGAGTCCTCTTTTGTCTGACATAAAGGATGCAATTTCTGGAAGCAGATTTAGGCTGCAGGAAGCGAGATAATGCATGAAATTGAATGCTTTGTACACAGGGGTAAATAGAGGTATCTCTTGAAGAGAATCTGTTCCATTCAGCAATGTACAACCAGCACAGAAGGAGCTCTGTTGGCTCAGGGCTGAAGGAGAACTGATGAACAAAATTTGGGCTACAGGAATTTGACTATGTTTGATATCACTGAGAAGTGTGTGTATGCTGGTCTCCTCTGAGAAACAAATGTAAGGAAATTCTTTGACCTTGATAGCAGTCTGTCTTAGCTTTTGCTTCCCAACAACCCACACCTCTTGTAAAGGGAATCACAGTGCAGCTGGAAAGGGTAATTGTAATGAACATTGCAGGATTCACAATGGAATTTCACAGAAATATGGTAGTAATCTGAGAACCAGCCCTAGTTTGAATAGATATAAGAATGCTTTGTGGGGTTATGTTCATTGCTTTATCAGCTTGCAGGGAAAAGTTCTCCATTTTCTTTTGTGTGTGATTTCAGTACCGTGTGATGTGGGCGATGTTTCTTTTGTCTAACATGTAAAAGCATGGGCTGATGGAAAGAGAGTTTGTCCATTTGCAAAAACTGTAGGAAGGGTCTAAGTGCTTTCTTCTTTTAAGTGGTGGTTGAGGGTGCTTTCTTTATTCATCTAGCAGTGTTAGCCAACAATTGTAATCATGAGTAAGTACAGCATGGCTCTTTTATGATCATCCTTGGAGGGAGTTCAGTGTCCCAAGAAACTGTTTTCTTGAATTGTGTGTTAAGATACTTGCTGCATATTTCAGCCTGAGACTGCTTCAGATGCTAAGCAGCTCTTCAAAGACTGTGAAAAATACAGTGGTAGAAGAAACAATTAAATGTGCTAATAGTTATTAATTTAAAGGCACCCATACCAAAGTCAATGTATGCTTATTTACAGTTCAAATGTTTCGGTAGCTTTATGTACCTTGTACTCTTTGTGGACTGTGGTTAGGCAAAGAACAGCTATAAAATAGTTTGATAAAATATTTCTTTAGCATGAATTTAAAAGAAAAAACAGTCTCACAGAATATTCTGCAAAGTGACTGGAGTGTCAGTCCAAGTATTTCTACCAGCAGTTCATGAGCGTTGTCCATTGTCACTGTGGTAGTATCATCCTGACCTTTCCTCAGACCATCTGGTATGCTTTTTGGATGGATGTTGCTGCTAACAATGCCCTGGTTCAAGCTGATCCTGGAGTGCAATTTAGGCATTGTTCACCAATGATTAATCAAGAAGAGGTTACATAATGAAGCCAGCATTAAAATGTATGGGCATGTGGCAAATCAGATTGAATGGCAATATCTCAGAATATATAGCATCATATTGTTGGGTTTCTTTTGTGGTTTTCACTCTCCTGGGGACCTGAGTATAGACTGTGACATGCTGAAAGCTCTGTTTATTTTACATTTTAAATGATTAGTGGAAGATTAAACTTTCATGCTAACTGAAAAATATAATGAAAATGCTAAATTCTGGGCTCCCTATCTAAATATTATTAGCTTTTACATGATGTATTTGGTTCTTTTGTTCTTGCTGACTCACAGTCCGTAGCCTTTCTTGTGTTAATGCATTTTAATCCCCTGTATAGAGTCTCTCAACAAAAAGACATTTTGATATAGTAGTGGAAAGGAGAA